TCCAATGTCACCTGATCAGAGGCATTCCCTAATCACCTGGATGGAATTGCAATCCCTGCCTCTCACCCGCCTCTCACCCGCCTCACCCATCTTCTCTGCTTTGTTTCTCTCTCTTCACACATCGGACAGGCCATACATTTTTATTTCTGCATTTGTTTCGAGTCTGGCTTCCCCATTAGAATGTAAGTTCCTTGAGGACAGAAATGAAAGTGTGTGTTTTATCCCCAGTGCCAAGAACAATATCTGGCACCAAGCAGAAGAGAGAGACGGAGAGAGCAATTCTGCTCTCAAGTTTTGCTGAGTCCTATTTGATCTAAGATGCGTCAAATTACTAATTCCAAGAATTTCTGATGGACAGATCAGATTATCCAATAATCTCATCGGAAGACCTGCCTCTTGCTTCCCCTGTGATAAAGGTGAGGTCTCAAAAATTCAACTGGGGAAAAACTACAAAGAGAAAATGAGTCAGCATAACAACTTCCGGTTCATTCTCAGAATCTGAACTGACCAGCGGCCTGCCGGCTGGGACTTTCTCGGGAGCGCTTTTCACTTAACCCTCCCCAGATTAAGAGGTTTGTCCTTTTGCTGGATTTAAGAAGGGAAAGGGTGGTGCCTTTAATTTCCTGTTTCTAAATGGCTGTGCTAATAGAGCTGGTACTAAACAACACGACTTTTCAAGCAGATAAACATAAACAGAAGCTGCCTCTGCTGAGGATGGCTTCCCTGGCCCCGTGCCCCCAATAAGTCCGCCAACCCCCATTTCTCTGGGGCCTGAGCACCACTTCTGTCTCAGGAGGCAATGAAAGAGGAGTCCTCAGCAATGGCTAGAGCTGTCTCAGGAAACTGCCCTAGTGCATCTGTCTTATCTGAATGCAGCTGTGAACACGCCCCATGGAGGCGCAAACACTTAAACTGCCAAGGGGCCACCCCACACTGGAAATGGCTCATCCGTCAGTTAATTTAACGCGGTTTCAGGATTCATAACCGTCTCCTATTTAGACCTTTTCAAAGGAAGTTGCAGACAGAGAACATAAGCACAGCCCCTGCAACTCCAAGACTCAACTTATGAGTAAGATTCTTAAATTTAAAATTAAAAAGCAAAAGAAAAAGATTAGACTGATATCTTGCAAAGGAGGTGGGGGGAGGGTAGAGGTATGGGCAAGTCTATAAATTGAAAAGGCTGTGGTTAAATTTTCGGTCTTTAAACTTAATAGTCACCATAATGGTGTATTTGTATCAAACGGGGTACAAAATGCGTGATGTGATCACAACTATTTTTTATATATAATATATACATATATATTCCATAATCTATAGAAAAAAGTACCAGTTGCCCTTGGGTGCTGGAATAAGGAAGGATTGTTTCTCTTCTGTACTTCCTACGTTTTCTAAAATGAGCACACATTGTTTATAAGTAGATTAAAGTTGCAATGCAAAAGTGTTTGAAATCTCATCAAGCGAAACTACAAAGGGGTAACTCAAGAAGTCTTTAAGTAAAGAGTATAGCCTTTCTTTCAATACATTCAACCAAAGCAATCCCAGGCGACAGTGAAAGTAAACATGTTGCAAAAGGGGAAAAAAAATTGCAATGAGAGGAAGGGAACAAGGCAAAGGGCTTTCTCCTCTGCAGGCTGCTATGAACAGGGGCCTTCACACAAAGGCACAGGCCTTGGGAGGAACACAAAAGAAAGGTGCACGGAGCTGGGCATGCAGGCAGCCTGGGGGCGCTCAGCTCTGCCTGGCACCACGCAGCTCCCTTAGAGACCAGAAAGGCAGGGAGGCGTCCACACCGGATAGAGCCAGACTTACGGACCAGGCGTGCTTGGCAAGGCTTGACACGCATCCCTGAACGCCGGAGAAGCCGGTCTTCTAGAGTTTAGCCACTTCATGCATTCATCCAGCACATCTTTTATTGAGAACCTACTATGTGTTGGGCACTGTGCAAAACATCAGGATTCGAACACAGCCTGAAACCTGGGCCCTGCCCTAAAAGACATTCTTAACAAAGACCGTTCACTCCGAGTGTCAAAGATCTAGGGAAAACCGCCCTACTGACTGACAAGGACCACTTCTGCTGACCCCTCCAACCAAATGAAAGCTCAAACACTCAAGTGTACAAATTACTCAAGTTTATGAAAGACAATGGCACCCAGATCAAATTCAGAGTAAGAGACACCCCCCACCACCATCACTGAGCTGTCTCCTTTCATTCTTTCTCTCCTACCTCATACGCCCCAGGCATTCTCCAGCTGCCAATGAATCCATGTCACTTGGAATACAATTTTTCTATCTCAGATACAGGTACTCAGAACTCCTGCCAGAGGGCTCCAAATTTTTAGCAACACAATCTGTGCCACGCTGTGCCTTCTGCCTCTTGCAGGGTGATCCGGAGAGACTAAAACGGAAGCGCCAGGGGAAAGGATCGGTTATCATTGCCTTAAATCCTTCAGGGGAGCAACGATCAGCTGACTTTCAAAGAAAATCAAAGCGGCCGGTCAAAGCTTTCGCATCTGCTGTCATCAACAGAGCCGTTTTTTAAAAAAATGGAGAAGAAAGAAAATGTTTCCTATGGGTTTCAAAGCCTATATTTGTGTCCCATATAACAATAAATCATTGACACGGAGTTTTTGTAGGACCAAAGGTAACTCACAATAAGGAAGACTTTTTAGTCGAGCTCTCCACAGTTCTTTTCCACATTCCATAGGAGGTACTGAAAGTAGTATTTGCTCTATGGACCGGGGGAGACAATATCAGGACAGCACGCTCACAGAGATGAGAATAATAAACAAATGCCATTTCTTAGAAGGAAATGGAACCAGGAAGGGACGCAAAGGCTGAGAGCAGAGGGGCAAGGATAGAGGATCTTGACCCGGAGAACCTCAGAGAGCATCCTCCCGCTGGTCCCACAGGCCCAGACGGACAAGGGCTGAAGCCACTTTCCAGCTGGGTTCCGATTCTTTAACTAGAGCTGGGATTCTTGGCTAAGTGCCCATCCCAAGTTGGTATCTCTGGTATCTTTTCCTGGTATCTCTGGCTAGAAAGTTACTTCCCTATTCTCACACAGGAAAAGAAAAAAGCCCAGGCCGTGTTGGAAACCGTGGGTGATAGTAGTAGTATTATTACTGTTTCACTGGACAGCTAACAGGTACAGAGAAGTTAAAGGGCATTCTTGCTCGAGGCTGGTGTTTCTCCCTGTTCCGGGCATTTCGGCAGAGAATTACCTGGCACCTCAGTCCAGGCAAAACTTTATGCGACCTAAACACATCTCCAGAGTCTAAAGCAAAGCATTCGGTCCTTTGTTTAAATTGTTTGAGCCTCAGTGTCTGTGCACGCCGCCCAGTCCTCCAGCCCTCGGGGTGGAGCCTGGCCTGGCTGCCAGAATGCCACTGTCTGTCTGGTCCTGCCTCTGCAACCACAGCCCTCCGGCCAGGCGATGCAAGCGAGGTCCATTTTTAAATTCCCTTAGAAGTTTCACAGCCACGGTTTGGGTGAGGTGACAAACCCTGCTGTCCTTTGTGGACAGGAAACTAAAAATACCCAATGGCCAACAAAAGCCATCTTTGACAAGGCTGGCTCAGATGTCCTGAGGTTGCAAGGGATGGTGTCAGACCATGTCCCTGGCAGCGTGGCTGCCTTAACAACTGCTCCTCCAGGGGGACCCAGGGCCATTCTGTCCCCACGCTGTCAAGGAAGCTTGCAGTCCGCAGCCTGCCTATCTGATGGGAAGAACAGCTTTATTCCTCGGCCATGGACCCCCACGCAGGCTGGGTGAATCCAGGTCTGCTGAAAGTGTTAGATTCGCAGAATGGAGAAGACCGAGGCAAAAAGAAAAAAAAGAGAAAAAGAAATCCAGTTTCCCTGGAAGGACAGGTGTTTCCAGCTCCCTCCTCCTTAAAATTATAAAAGCAAATTACTGCTGCGACTATGCTGAGAAAGACAACCCACAGGCGTAAAAAACGGATTTCAGAGTCAGTAGGAGGAGGAGCCCTGGCTCTCCCCCTCCAGACGTCAGAGGTGAAAGCACCTAAGCCCCGGGGTCTGGGAGGAGGGAACTCATTCCCACGCGGCCCGGGGCCTCCAGGTGCTAGGAGCCCAGGAAGGGGGCGGGGGGGGGTGCAACCTGATGGTCAGCCCAGGTCCCAGCAGAAGTTTCCTCCAAAACTGCGGTGGTCAAGGCGTGACCCAGGAGCGCCGGGTTCCCGGGCGCAGGGTGGGAATTGGGGGGCGGGAGGCTGGGACAGGGGGCTGGGGCAGAGGGC